TTTTGTTTCTTTTTATACTGTGTACGAAATTTCTACCAGAAATCTAGGCTTCGATTTTTAAGTGTAGCACTTTTTCTGAAATTAAATTTTATATAATTGGTACTTAGAGAGGTGATTTTATAGTTTTTTATGCGATTTTCATAATAATTAGGATGAACTCAGAACAAAACGGGTACATTTAAGAAAACAATGATATAGTTATGTAATAATAATTTATTATTTTAAATTTTGTTTTTTTTGTTGTAATTTAGTCAAAAATATTCTTAGAGATTTGAAATATGTACAACAAACTTATATTTGACTTTTCTAGAGGTGGTAAAAGGTTCAAAATAGTTGTGGCTATTTTTAAGTTGTTTATAGACATTTTAATTTTGCGGGTTTTTTGGATAATTTTTATTCAATGAGTACTCTGTGAATATAATTATTATAAATTTAACAGGAGGTTTATTATAAGATTTATACTATAAAAAATGAGTGTAATGTAAAATATTTTTTAAATGATAATTTTAATATTAAATTATGACGGAAATTGTAAATATTAAGATTTTTTTAAAAATAGGTATAATCAAACTGGTAAAATGTTCAAAACATTCCGGAAATTTTCGAGCATCTTATTTGATTTAATGCGATTAAATTAAATTATATTTAATTTAATTTGATTTGACATTAATTGATGTTTTCGAGTTATTTTTGTTTTTTATTTTATTTTTCCTATTTTGTCATATTACTATAATATTAATTTACGTCATAGGAATTATGTTAAATTAAATCGAATTTATATAAGTTAGGCTAAATTATATTTCAAGATCTTAATAAATTGAAAATAACTTGCGTGCATCGTATCTGGTTAAAATTTTGTTTATACCTCTCATAATATATAATATACTCGTACGTATAGAATCATTCATACACACATAAATGTTTGTAGATTCTAAACTATTTCAAAAATCACCGCTTGTCCCACGTTGGTTCAAAACTAAATTTGAAGAAGAGACCTTCTTAACATATTATATAACCTACACTCAAAGTGTAGTGCATATAAATCTCAGAGGTTTCTTAATAAAGTAGTCCTCAATCACACATATACGCACACACACACACACACACACACATTCTCACAAACATACATATTAAATAAATACCTTTAAGTATACCATAGCACATATTTCACATTTTGAAATATAAATAAAAGGATGCATCTAGGTAGTAAAGTCAGAAAAAAGTTATTTTTTCACATAGTAATAAAGTACAATTGTTTTTTTTTCTTCGTATTTTCTCGTCATTTATATACCCCGCACAGTATGCAAATGATTAAAAATAATGTTCATAAATGAAATCCGTATAATATCATAATACACTTTTTATATGGGGTTTTTTTTTTTTTTTTTTTTGTTATTCCACTATAGTATGCTTATAACCTTTAATTGGTCGCAATAATATTTTGACATATTCGTTGTTTTTAAAAATTGTATTAAATTGTTTTTATACAGGAGATTTTTTCTATGCACTTTTGTATGCACATTTTTATGCAAAACACTTATATTATTATCTCGGAAAATGTATAAATTCTTTTGAAGTGGTTAAATATCTCGCCAACGGCACATTCAAAACTAAAAATTCCACGGAATTTGTATTGTAAATAGAGGTTTTAATTTGAAAACTAAGATATGATACATTGGTTTTACCACCAAACACAAAGGACGACAATAATAAGGGCAATGTTTTAGAACTGTAAGTAGTTTTAATCCTCTGGTTCCCTGAACCTCCGTGGTTCCTAAATAGCGTACGGATTATATAGACCCATTTGGAGTAGTGAGAAAGGTGGGATGCATACATTTATTTAATTTATACCTGTAAACAACGATAAACCATTGATAATAAAAAACAATTCGGAGCGAAGTTTGATTATACGTGTTATACATAGCCATAATATTTATGATTACAGTCAAAATTGATTTTAAAACTAATAAAAAAAAAAAAAAAAATATTAGGTATAATAAACGAAAATTTTTTTTTATCATTTAGTGCGACTTATACCGATCCCTTGTCATATTTTCAAGCATTTCTGTTAACTCTAAAAAAATATCTATTGCAAAATTAAAATGTCTTTAAATAGCTCGAAAATGGCTAAATATTTTTGAAACGTTTACCACGTCTAGAAAAGGCAAATATAAATTTGTCTGTACAAATTTCATGTTACTACGAATATTTTTAACTGAATTACAACAAATAACAAAGTTGAAAATAATAAAAAGCATTATTTACGTAAATTTCTCATTTTCGTTTACCTTTACGTCATTTTACGTTCATCTCAGATTTTCCAAAAAAAAAACAAAAAATAAATAAAGATTTTTAAAACCAATACTTTCTTTTCTATATTCAGAACTTGAAATAAAGAATACTTATTAATTATTTTTTTCGTTTGCGTTAACCAGAACCTATTTTTTGTATGAAATATAAAATCTAATATGTGTAATCCAAATACATAAAGTGTACTATAACTAATGAATATTAACAAAAGATTAATGTATTAACAATTATTATTCCTAATACTCAAAATTAAAAAAAAAATAATCCCGATAACACTAATCTAATATAACTACTAATATGATAATCTTTCATAGTTATAGTGTAAATCATAAACTCAGTATCGGTCTATGTCATTGACTAATTTACAATACTTGTAATAATTCTAGTTCCTTTTTTTTGTAGGATTTAAATAAGAGAAATAATATCTAATAATTTTACTTTAATTTAATTTAATTGTATGCTTAACTTAAAGCCGAAAAAAATAAAAACTGACCACGATAAAAATGTTTTTTTTTTTTTTTTTTTAATCAATTTCACGATTACGTAATCAAAACTCACGACTTACTTTTTCGAGTTGATAAATAGTGATCGTTTCATCAGACTTATTATGCTCGTTAAAATCGATTATACGCGACCCCTTGAATATAATTTACTGTAGACGTTTGATGTTTGGACCATTATAATATTATTGTTTCACGGACAATACTGCAATACATCATCATTCAAAACGGTCTCTCTTGATTTATTTAACGGCAAACACTATAATGTTAAACTATAAGCTGTTATTTAATTCAAAATATACCTTTGGCGCGGTGATTAAATAACGAACGTTACGGCCACTAGTCGTCGTTAAACTATAAATTCAGACCGGTAAACCTAATATAAGTTTTAGATGAAACTAAATAGAGCACCGCCTATTATCGAGTCGTATTGCCCGGACGATTTGAATACCGCAGATGATGTTTAGTTATTTTAATATTAATAAAGGCACGAGTTCAATGTGCTAATAAAATTATTACAAAAATTTATATTTAAATTTATAAAAAAACAATTAAAACTTTAGAAAAAAAAAAACACCAAAGCTCTGTCACTAGAGTGAAAATTCTCTTGACTATTTTTGACCAAACCATTAATTATTTTTGCGTCATATCCCTCCTGTATTTGATGTCAATACCTATAAAAATTAATGGTGCACAATTTTAGTTCAAGATATTTATCTTGCTGCCTAAGTCGAGCAGTTTAGTAGATTTTTATCAACACGATTAACATATATATTGTGATATAATTTTTTTTTACCTTGGAGAAGACATAAATCGAAATAGTATAGTTCCCAATAAGATCCAGTAATGGAAATTTGATTAAAAATAATCTTGTACCAATATAGGTAGACATTTGTATTGTATCATGATTTGTTTTAAAAATGATTGATTTAAAAAAAAAAAAAAAAAACTATGTCAGTAAAACAAAATTTGTGTGCTTTTTTCATTTTGTGAAAACAATTTTATGCTAGAAATCTTGCTTCAATCGAAAAATGGGATAACGTATTTTTAGTTGAATTTTGGATCTAGTTAATTGAACAATAGGTTTTCATAATAATAGGAAAAAACCGAAAAAGAAACGTATAAGAAAAACAGATGACATGTTTACGGCACCGTGACGTTCACGATTTCATTATTTGTTTTTAGTTTTTATTTGATAGGTATTATGTGGATAAAACCGTTTGGCCAAATAGAAATGCCTGAAAATTAAATATAAGACTCAGTGACACCCAAGTGTTTCATAATACGTATTAACACTCACATACCCAACCATATCAAAATAAAATAGTTCTGGTTAATACAAATTACTTGGAGTTTGTTCGTTAAAGGTATAGCGGTCTTACATACTTTGCATATAAGCCGAGAGCCATTGACGGGGTTCATTATAAGTTTTACTGAGTGGTAAAATAAAAGTTGTGCATACAATGCAGTTGGAGTTTTTTTTTTATAATTGTTTAAGTTTCATTTGATGACAACCATACAAATTATTGACTTTTCAAAACATGTTTACCGGAACATCGGTCGGAACTGTTTTTCATTAGCAATGACTTATCGTTGCGTACAGACATAAATTAAATAACATTATGTATTCTATCTACCCAACATCTCAACCTTGCCCACAGTGGCACGCTCCAACAGCGTGCTGAATATTCTCTATACTTGAGGCAAAACAAAAAAATTAAGACCCATTCACTCGAAAAATGGATTTTTGTATGTTCTATGAATAATTAAATCGAAAATTGTATTTAGTTCTATTGATTGCATAATATAGGCTATTATTTTAGTAATTACGTATATTAATAATATAATACGCAAAACCAAAGGCATCTCTGCTCTCTGAACTAGTCAATCTTAATCAACATTCAACATATTTTGTCACCCATTTTAGTCACGAGGCAATTCCCTGAGAAAAAACCTACTTCGGCACGTCACTGGCACACCCGTCTTCGAGAATTTTCGAGTTGCAATCGCTGTCTTGAGAACTAAATGCATTTTCCAACGTATTTTCGGTCTAATAAATTCATAACCCTAAATGTTTAACATTGTGTTAGGTAGATAGCAAAAACACACTAGAGTTAAATCACTATAATTTATTATAAATTTTTTTTTATTTTTAACATAAATATCATAATTGTTATAATATATGATTACAGCGACAATAAAATAATATATATTTATAATAATATAATGTACACATAATACATAATATTATAGTATAATAATATAGGTAATAATATCATCTCGGTTTTTTTTTTCTGTGGTATAAAACGCTAAATTTCATAAATTTCGTCGTCGAAACTAATAATATATTATAATACGGGAACCTATATATATATATATATATATTTATTTATTTATAAAATATTATTTCAATAGAGTATAATTTACAATACAATATTATATTATTTAACAACACGAACATAAACATCAAATGGCAACGTATTTCTACAATCATAATATTATAACATACACGTGAACAAATAATATTATACAACAATGATATATAGCTTAACAATAAATTATTTATACATTATACAATTGTATATGACTTTGGTCCCGGAGAAGAATGGCCGAAGTAAATTTTACGGTACAGTTTTCAATACACGCGGTTTACATTATGAAAACCGCCCAACGACATAATGGCACAATATTATTGTTAAATGGCCTAACACGGCGTTTTAAATAGCTCTCGCATCGTAATGTCGTGATATTTTACGTATTTAAATGCCTTTCTCCCCCCCCCCAATTGAAAAAAACATCAAAGTGGCCCAAGATATTTTCGTTGACGTTGTACCATCTCGCGTTATTAAAATATACGTGCGCGCGCGTACGCCATTTATGCGAAAAACCGGATTACGATTGGGTGAAAATTGTCGAAAATAACAATGCCGAAAATCATCGACTTGGCCCTTTTTCCCCGGGACCAAATAATTACATCATGTAGTTTATAATTATGTACGCGTGTAATACACGATTATTGATATTTCTTTTTTTTTTTTTCGTTACGTTTAACGATACGCAATAATTGTCGGATTAAAATAATAATAGGTAGGTAAGAATAATTTTCAAACTTTAGGTAGGTATTTGGGTAGGAGTCAACAAAATACTATTGCAGTTCGCGCATCGATATTTACACGCGCCGATTTTATTTCAGAGCATAGTTTTAAAATGTCAACACTAACAGCGTAGGTATTTAATATTATTGGAGAATGTTTCTTCTTTGTACACATTGATTTGTGTGAACATTTCAGCGGACAACGAACAAATCGGAAATTATAAATAAACCTATTCAAATGAATACGATATAACATGACGTTATTTGCAAAAAAACTAAACACAGTATAGTTTTTATTTCACAATTGAAAACTGTTAAAAATTTCAATATTTTAAAATACACGCGTATTTATCTGTTATCTACTAAAAACTAAATATATTGATCCGAATAAGTTTTAAGGGATTTAATACAGTGGAGAATTTTCAAAATTTTTCTGACGATGGGCGCTGAAAAATAATATGTATTTTAAATAGACGTCTGTTTTTTAAGACGACATTTTATTGGAAATATATCGGTGATTTGGGTCAAGGTTAACACTCGTATGGTCCCTTAGCCCTCATGAATCCCCTACTGTTTACCCACAACCTGCAGTAGGTGCAACGGGTAACATTTATTTTTTTAGAATAGTAAATATCTTAAACACTGTCCATCAAGAGCCAAAATTCAAAAGAAGTTCTCCCAATAACGTTCTAATTAAAAAACATGACAATTATGGAATCAACTCAAAGCTTATAATTTTAGTTGTAGACTGGACGTTTTTCCCGAAATCCGGTGTGAGGATAAATTTCTTGTCGCGCATTATAGTAGGTGTGTAGTGACCTAACCCTTCTACTATATTACAGTGTCGTGTAATGCGTTAAAATATGCTCTGGACTGTATTTTATCGTGAACAAAAAAATAATGAGTGAGTTAAGTTGGGGATATTTTTTCATTATTAGTTATGTATGTTTTTAAAACTCGCTAAAAATAACGGTCGAACGGTCACGAAAAAGGAGGGACGGCGCGATTATAGCGCGTTCGCGGGGAAACCGAATTATACACGGGGCGTATAATAATAGTGATGGCGTCTCGTTGTTTCTATAAAACGTTATCGCGAAATCGCGTAGGTATCCGCCAGTTAGGTTATATTATTATTATTATTATTATTTTTTTTTTTATGTACAATCAACACAAACTGTGTTTCGGTGAAATTAAATTTCCTCGGTCGGAATGCGCGTCCATAATAGTGGCCCCGGTGCAGGAGTGAAACGCGGCGTGTGGAATGCAGTGTCGGGCACCATTTTTTTTTTATTTTTTATTTTGTACCGTTCGGTATAGTTTTTGTTTTTTTTTTTTATTTTTCTGGACAACTAAGCGTTTTATTGTTACATCAATCCTATATATATATATATGTACGTGTATACGGCTATACTATCTACTATAACTACTGTTATAGAGTAGCGTGTTATGCCGGGACCAAATGGCCCGGAAAAATATTATAAATCTTCGGTTGGTTCTGCCCAGAAAAAAAAATCATAAAAAAAAAAAACGAGAGACCCCGGCTGCAAAAGTTCGGCTGCTCGCACGCGTTCGCGAACATTAAAAGAAAATATCTCTTAAATGTTTCGAAACGTACGCCTCACCTCCGCCTCCTTTCGCACCGAGCCCCAACAGCAGACATATTATTCGGAGTTTTTTTTTTTTTTATTTAAAACTATTTCTCGTGAAATGTTAATAATATTAAATAAATGTACGTTCTTTTTAAATCGACCGTTCCGAGAAATTATCGGTACCTACCTACAGTATTATACGAAAGTTATTTGATATAATAATATTACGAAATATTTATTTATTATTTTTTTTTTTTAATATTTTTATTTTTTATTTTCATTATATTATGTACATATTATATTTGAATAAATTACAACGTCATGTTTCGATATATTTCACGTATCACGTTAGTTTGTTTAGTATATTTTATAATCCAGGGTGGGCCAGTGAAGCAGACGATTTAAAAATAACCGTTGGCAGCACTGTAAATACGATCTTAGCAGTTAAGGCGGGATACCAAGCTATTTAGTCGTTTAGAGAGCGAGAGACAGTTTTAGTACCCATTTCATCCGTTATTTCAAGAGTGCGACGAGCGTAACTTATAATAGCATATCGAGGTTAGGTTTTAAAATCACAATTATAATAATTCATTCAAATAAATGATAATAATTTGATGTTATTTATTTACAGATAAAAATCATTAAAATTATAAAAAATTGAACCGTGAGTTTTAGACATTCCAATGAAATTCGGTTTTTAAACGCTCACCGAGGTTGTAGAAAAGAACGTGTGAACTAAAACTGCATGTCTAAGCGACCGCAAAATGAACGCAGAAGAAATAGCCAGTTTCCCGATCTCGAATTCTAAGACCGAGGTGATATCATTGACCGTTGGCTCACGTAACATCGTGCGTCCACATATAAGTCCTAAGATAAGCTTTTTGTTTCCGAAACGATTGATTTATCAAAACTGGGATATTTCACGTGGGACCACGAATCCCTCTTCCCCCCCAGGTAGCTAACTTGACTTGTGATTTTTTTTTTGTGGCAGTATATTATTAAGAGTAAAGTATACCAGGGAATGACGAGGACACTTGACATAGAATACGAGACTGTAACTCTGTAGCGAAAATCCCTCAGCCTTGACGAATGCTCGTTTCAAGACGGACGTCGTCTTGCGGAGATATATTACCATTGATACATTGTGCTTGTTGATTTTCCACAGTCGTATTAAAAATCGTCAGTTTAACTGTGTACCCTGTAGTACAGTTTACAAAATAGATACACTAATTTTAAGTCAATTTATTTTTATTTTTTTTCCACCAGAAGAATATCATCGTTGAACAAAACGAGTCGCATAAAACATGGTTGTATACATTATACGTCAAATGTTAATCAAAAGTAATAGGATCGTAAAAAATATGCATTCCGCTACTCGAACGTATGTAGAGTAAAAACACGATTTTTCAATAGACCTTCAGCCGCACTCTTTCACCCACCGCGGTCTACGGTTAAATATTACCTATATTATATATTATACGTTTCAAAGAATTTCGTTTTTCTATATGTTTTTATTTTTATTTTTATGAACGAAGGTACAATAATTGACGGATTTTCGTACACTTTGTAAACAAATTGTTTGTTTCGTGATATTTTTATTTTGCGAAATAGAAAGTAATAGTTAATAAAGTTTTAAATGCTTCCGGTGCTAATAATAATATACGTGGCGCGAAATTCAGTATACTTAATTAATTCAATCGTCCGAGTGGAATTAAATTAAATTTGAAAATAATGACACGACGTTAGAAATCTTTTCTTTAAATGAATAAAAACAAAACTATATAAATCTCTGTACAAAGAGTCTCGGATTCTTTACAATATTATCGCGCGAAGAAAAAAAAAACATGTTTAATGTGTCGTTAAAACAACACAAAACTGACATTTTTGCACGTAAATCACGAAAGTTTAAACGAACACAATTTTTTTTTTGCAACAGGTGGGACAGCGTTCCGCACAAAATTATATTACAATATTATTACAGAATATAATACGTATCCGTAACGTTAATGTCCTATTATTTCACGGAGTTTTATTTGGAGGAAAAAAAAACTTTTATGTTTGTTTTTAATTAGACGGGGAACCTTCCCCCTTCTCGGTCTATACGGTGAGTGCAGATAGATTCGCATGATAGATAACAGCATAACAGTACAACACGATACACGGACGTCCGTTGTGGGGGCGGTAAACGACTTGTCCGTACCTAAATACTGAAAGCACAATGTTTTTTTTTTTTTTATAAATCAATAACGGTCCCCGGACGCAGGCGTTTACACCGTTAACGGTCGCCGGAAGTCCACGCGGACCGCCCGCGTCGGGCGATACCTTTTACGGGAGGACTTTCGAGGATTTTTTTTCAATTGCACACCACGGTTCATTTTTTTTTCGGGCCGCGACATTGCGCGCGTGAAACACGGGCACGTCATTATATCCAATTACAGTCCCGACCGTATTAACGGTAATAACCGTAATAACGGTCGTTTCGGGCGGTAGACCGCGGCACAGCGACTTTTGTCTCCCCGGTTTTTACATAGGTTTTCTTACAATGCAATAATAATAATATGATACAACAAAATTTTAACACAGTGACGCGTTTTTGAAGTCGCGCCGCTGCGCCCCGGTAACGGACGCGTGACACTTGAAACGGCGGTCGGCGGCTTACGAGTCGGGACCTTCGCCCACGTATCCCTCGTCCGGACTCTCCGTGTTGGCCGGTTGCTTTTGCACCGACGTGACGGCTTTGTGCAGCTGTTGCTGTTCGGCGGGTAATTGGTGCTGGTGCTGCTGCTGCTGCTGCTGCTGTTGCCTGCCGACGGCGGACAACGCGGACGCGGTGGCTCCGGCCGCCGCGGACGACGGCGGCATCATCATCATCATCATGGATTCCTCGTCCAACGTTTGAGCGGAAGCGTTCGACAATAACGGCGCCGGCGGATCGTAAAACGCCGTCGTGTAGTACGCGCCAGCGTCCGCCGCGTGGTACGGGTATCCCTGTTGATTGTACCGGACGTTTTGCGGTTCGTATCGCATTTGGTGCAAATGGTGTTGGTTGTGTTGTTGTTGTTGTTGTTGTTGATGTGACTGCTGCTGCTGTTGCTGGTGGGTACGGTGATGATGGTGGTGCGGGTGGTGTTGTTGTTGTAGCAAGACGAATTCGGCTTCTTGGCACGAACGGCCTTGTGGTTTGGCCGCGTTCCGCCGGTGAGGAAGTGTTTGGTACAACGTCGGAGGCGGCACCGGGTACGATACGGGCGCCATCTGTATTTTGGGCAGTCCGTAATCGGGCGGGTAAGCCATTGTCTGCACCGCGGCGGGGTTCAGCGACTGCTGCATTTTAGGTAGACCGTAATCGGCCGGGTATGGTTCGCCGGCCGCGAGTTTGCCCGGCGACAATTGTAACTCGTATGAATCGCCACCGCCACCGGACGGATATACAATCGTTCCGGCATTCGTCCAAAACTCTCGACCGCCTGGTAAAGGCGGCACGGAAATCTTGTACACCTCGCCGATGCCGTCGTGGTAGTCTCCACTGTTGTCTCTGACCACGGTGGACGCGTCACTGATCAGATCCGGGTTGGCTTCTAGAGTGGTGGTGGACGGATGTCCGGCCACTGCGTGTGCGCGATACGCGTCGTAACCGCCCCCGGTTACGTGCAGGACCTCGTGTACTTCGTACGCCGCGGCCGCTCCAGGCGCGTTGCCTGCCGCCACGGTAGACCCGTCGTATTCACCGTACACGCTCACGTCTTCGGCGGACGATAGCTTACCGTCCACCGTAGACGACACAGTCAGGTTCACAGAGTCCGATTGTCTGATGTCCGACGACGGTTTGGCCACCTGTCCGTTGGCGGTTTCGTCGCCAGATATGCCACCGGAACCGGTGCCGTTTGACTTGCCGGATCGACCGCGATCGTCGGACCGTCGCCGGCGTCGCTTCACCACTATCAGCCGACAGCCGACGGCGCACACGACGGCCACGACCACAAAGCATACCGCGCCGGCGGCCAGTACACCGACCAAGAACGCGGGCGCCGGGCGATCTGGCGGATACGAGCCTGCTGCCACCTCGGACACCTCTTGGACGACGCGCAAGGTGAAATTGCACGAGGCCCGGCCCGCACGGTTCTCGGCGACGCACACGTACGTACCATTGTCTGCCGGACCGACGTCATCGATGGTGAGTTCGGCTCCGTTCCCCGTACCGTTGGCCATTGGTTGTCCCTCGAACCACCACGAGATGCGCGCTTCACCGGCCGGAATTATTACGCAGGTGAGCGTCACGTTCTTCCCGGCGTCCGTTTCGATTGAAGAGGGCAGTTTGGTAGCGGCCACTGGTGAGCACGCCAAGTCCTCGGTTGCCAGTTTCCGGATGGTTGAGCCCTGCAACCTGTCCGGCTCGTGGCACTTCGGTTCCATGGTGTGTGGTGCGGTGTTGTTGTTGAGCCACCTGTGCACGTCCCTCAGATGGCAGTCACACTTCCACGGGTTGTTGTGCATTTCGATGCCGTGCAGTGATAGCGGTAACACCGCGCCACCCGTGCTCTCGATTCGGGCGATAAGATTGTTATCGAGCCGGAGCCACTCAAGGCTGCGCAGGTTGTCAAACGCGCCCGGCTCGATGGTGGACAGCCGGCACCGGCTAATGTCTAGCACCGTCAGGAAGATCAGACGACTGAAAGCTGCCGTCCTTATCACAGTGACTACGTTACCACTCAAAACCAGTTTCATCAGCTGCGGATAGTCGTCGAACGACTTGGTTGGTATGTCGGCGATCCCGTTGTCGGACAGGTCCAGCTCGACCAGGTTGGATAGACCATGGAACGCGGCGTCGTCGACGTACGTGATCCGGCACCGGGCCATGTATATCTTCTGCAGGTTTGACAGGCCGGCGTTCATGAACCGGCCGTAGGAGAGCGTGTCCAACGGGTTGCCGGACATGTCCAATACCTGTGTGCCGGCGTCCATGCCACTGGGTATAGCCGACAGGCTTCGGTTGACGCACTCGACCGTCTGCTTGCCGCCCTTCCACTTGCACGTGCAACCGAGCGGACAGCCCGCTGCCCCGGCCAGTATAACGGCCAGCGCGGCCGTTACGAATATCACCATCGTCGGTGCGACCCGTCGCCTCGGCATCGTCTTGGTCCCGCGCGTCACACTACCGGATGACGATGACGACCCTTAGGGCCGATCGTGGCCTCTACCCGTCCGCACATCATTGGCGCCGCTTCCTGCTTGTATCCACGATGACACCGTCTGAAACGACAAAACGAATATGGTATATAGAAAACAAAATCAATCAAAATCGTTTTATCGGATTTTTATCGTTAGAGACTTTTAGCAATTTCGCACATTATTTGAGAAAGATTAAAAAAAAAACGGCAGAGTTAAACACAAATACTGTTCGTCATAATATAAGCAATCAAAATCCTAAATTTTATTTAACATATATTTATATATTTTACAGTTTTTGCTTTTTAGAACATATTTAATCAGTTTGTAGTTTTCAAGTGCTATTAAAGGCCATGTATTGTACTCGTATCTTATCTGAATTGTATGCCGCGTATTATAAACGATTTTTTCGATTTATATTGTTAAAATCAGGGGCGTCTCCAGGTCTTGGCTATGGAGGGGGTGAAACGGTAAAATTTAATATGAATGATTGATAAAAAAAAAAATAAACGATGTTAAATAATACATTGATTATAACTACTTCTGGACTAATGATTATGCCATTATGCCGAATGCCAATGCAAGTCCACTTCTCCGAGGGGGATCGCCCACATCGCTCGTTCGTCCATAAGAACGCCCCTGGTTCAAATTCTCACGCACTGATATGCAATAACATAGTTAATTTAGTTAACAATCTTTGAGTTTGATCAATAAATCTCAAATTGTCCGTCTCGACGACGCTCAAACATTTTCACGTAGATACTTAATATTAAACTAAATTAGTTATGTGCCGAGACGATTTCAATGAAAAAAATTTTTTAGAGCATATTTTAGTGAATATTGAGCCCCTAAGCCTAGTTCCAAAACGATTAACCCCGTTTCGTAAGCGGCACTGTGATCGAATCGGATCCCAGGTCAGGTTGATTAGGTCAGTTAAGGCGGGGGTACGCAACTGTAATGCGTTCCAACGGTAAGTCGGTGTTCCGGTAAACGGTCCGCCGCGTTTTTTGTTACCGACAACATTGCTAAAACGTTTCGTTTGCCGCACTGCACCGCAGTGTTTGGTCGACGAACGACCCGCGGCGACCGAGTTTTGAACGCGGTTTTTCAATCGTTTGCCGGTGCCGCCGGCCACCCGGTTGTCAAAAAACGCGAAATTGTCCAAACGATATCGCCAAAACGGCCGGTTCGCCAAACCGGCAACGGGACATCGTCCCCCCGAAACGCCTGTAATGTCCCAAGTCGTTTTCGGACGGACGTGATGTATAGCATTAAATACTGTCGTGTGCCTAAACAAATTACGTGTCACGCGGCATCGTTTAAAACGCGAATCGCGTGTACGGGAATCTCATCGAAATCCGTGATTGAAAACGCCCGTGACACCGTGGTCGGTTAGTCGTGTGGGTTGTGCGTCGGGTTGAGTTATGCGAATATAATAGTTGCCATTTCGCTGAATAATAAATACGGGCCGGTGTTAAATTGCGACAAAGTTAATTAAAAACAAATTCGCGCGTAAAATTAAACCGCGGTGGCTGCCGTATACGGTTATTTTCGGAGAAGTTCTTGGGGTTCGCGATTATTTTTCACTGTTCACGGTGAACCTGTCCGCGAATTTCGCATTCGATTAGGGCGGAACAAACGCCGGTATCCGCACGACGTTGCGATGCGACGCCTAAACGAATTTCCAGTAATAAATATTATTAAACACTTTTTATGCGCGGCCTTTAAGACCATATCGTGTCGTTTTGAAGTGTCATTCTAAATATTGTACCTTAAAATCAACAAAAAAAAAAAAAAATGGCTTACAATATCAAAAAGCTGCTGAAAATGATTTAAAAAAATCAAAAGCGGCAGAGGACATTAAAAGTCCTTTAAAGTGCATTAAGCCCCGGGCCTTGCGCACAATATAAGTCGATGTCGACGATAAGTCCGCATAGAAAATGGTAGGTGTTTTTTTTTTTACAATCCATAGATAGTCTTTTTGTAGACGGTATTTTAAAGATAATCTGTATGCTCCGTACTTATATGGATTTCAAATCGATATATTTTGTTTAAGTGTTCGGAACACGCACGATTTCAAAAATGATTTATTTCGCCACAGATTTAATCATTTTATTATTTTTTTTTCGTAAATCTGTGTTCGGACAATTACTCATACATAAAATTGACAGCGGTATATGTAAATTTTTTCAGATGCTCTTTCCCTCTCTCTCTCTCTCTCTCGCTCTCTCTATCTCTGTCTCTTTCTCTCTCTCTCTCTATACATAAATATATGGTTATATATAAAAATAGTTGTTGATGAGTTCGCTAGCTCGTTAAAGTCGCTTTATTGTACTCTTGTCACTCGTCAGGCCGATTCTTGAGTATTAAAATACGGGTCGGTGCATTTACGCACTTAATCTCTCGCGCTGACCGGCGACTATTCAGCGACCTTTATATATTATATTCAACTTCCTCGGTAAACTTCTCGGTGCGGTCAAACTGTCTCTCCGTCTGCCCTTCTTCAGTGTCGTTTTATTAATTTCAGAATTCCCGCGAGTAAAACGCGCAATTATTTGTTCCTTTTTTGGGTCAACCCCACATAGCTAATCGTCCGTAGGTATTATGCGATTCGCCAAACAAGCGGATCTCGTCTCTCTCGTTCTAGTCCACATACTGTTAAATTAACCGCGCTTACGGAAGAAAACTCAAGTGCGGATATTGAACGAGTGCGATAGTGCTACATATTCGGAGCCAACCATCGCGGACAAAGTGTTTCAGTAATTTTATATACACCGTGAAATGTATTGTTACTGCGTATCTAACTCTGTCGGCTTGATATGATTGTGCATCGCGATCGCGATATTTACTATAAGTAAAAAAGAAAATAGAGATATACACATTTCACTCACGATTTATCCAAACTATCTTTATCCTGCTTATTCAATACTGTTCGTGGAGCTGGGAGACGGTAAGAGGGGATGAGAAAAGCGCAGCCCATTTAATTATATTTCTAGACGTGTGATCGGCCATTTTGTAATACGCAGCTGTATACAGGATGTTTTCAAAATTAATACTATCAATGACGTAAAGTATCATCTTAAATTTGGCGGAATGACCTAATTACGAACTTTTCGATATTTTTCTCTCTGTACCTCCAAATCGCGTGAGTTTAACCAATCATAAAGTTGTAGTTTTCAAGCGTTTTTTGGTTTTTTTTTTTGTACGACAAAAATAATGGTTGATGATTTATCAGACCTGGACGTCGCGCGTCGCATCTACTATAAAAACTCTATTTACGTAATTTAATTCTTTACAATCGAATTACAAAAAAAAAAAAAAGAACTGTACTGCTTATGGGTTACACTGTACCGTATTTGTAAGTGGGAAGTTGAGGAGGTAAATACATATAATTATTTAATATACTATCTTTTCGCAACGATAAATCATAACAATTTTTTTCAAAATTTGAACTGTATTTATAGTAAGAATTCCTGCTACATTACAATCAATTTTATTTTTTTACTGCACTTAGTATAAATTATTATTATTAACTTCGTGTTAATACTCCAAACTTTTACTCATTGGTTATACAATTTAATCCACATTAAACCAAATAAAAACTAAACAAACCTCGAAAATTGGCAAAATATTTTTAAAAAAAAAGGTTAAAAAGTATTTGGACACCACTATGATCACTATATTTGTTAATAGTCGGTTACTTATTGTTGTATGTATACGCCGTAAAATTTAGTATGTCGTAATATTAACGTTTTGTTTTTTTTTTTCGGTTTCAGTTGGCCCGATTTCGGGTGTTCGAAGAAAAAACTAAAATAAGCCTGACAGATAAATTTAAATGTTTACTGGTTACAATAGATTCTTTACAATAAAATACTCGGGGGCGTATAACGATTAGCGAAGTGTATTTTTCTTTTTTAGTGGGTCCATTTGGCCGACCGACTCAACGAAAAAGTCTTCTTTTTATTTTTCTCATAAACCAAATAAACTGATACTTGGCCAAAAAAAACTTTTTTTTTTTGTATATTATAAATTACAATCCTTGATTTTTCGTTGTAACGTTAATGCGTGTCATTCGACATACCTATTTTGTAAAATCAATAAATTTCTCGCTCGGCTCGGAATCTGAAAAGTCCTACGATAATATCGTTTATTTTTTGGGACATTTATATATAAGCTAACATTTCCGCACGGCTAATATATTTTGTACGGCTATAATTAATCTTAATTAATAATAATCATACGATTTGTTTGTTGCAGTTCTCTATACTTCCGCGTTGTAGCTTATAGTTCTTTTAGGTCCTTGTAGTTTTCCTTATTTGTTCTTGATGATTTCGATCATAATGTTTATTCATCAGTCCTTTCGATTTTGATTTTTCTGCTCTCTTTCCTTAAATTGATGTTTTTAATGAGCTTCTAAAGTATTAATTTAGTCCCTATTATCTTATGTTTTTTGGATTGAATGTATTTCAATAGTTTTCATTTAATCTGTTTAAAACTTTTTCGTTTGTATAACTGTTACAGTCAATGCTATATTCAATGTTTTTCTAATTTACCGCGTCCATCCCGCACGTTTTTGAACATCATCCGAACGCCTCAGGTTTTCTGTGTTCAATCGAGCCAACTGTCTAGGTTTTGAAATCAAAACCAGCGCCACGTTCAAGACATAGATCTTTAAAATGTGTTCCTTACAGGTAGATTGACACTATTGTTAATAGTAATAAGCAATGCTCGGGACTGTATTTAAAATCCACAAAAAAGCGCTTAAACCGTCGATTAAGCTCTGATAAAATGGTAGAAGGGTTTAAAAGTTTTCCCTCTAATGATTTTAACGTATCAAATACGATTTTCTCACATTATAAAAATGATTTTAAAATAGTAATTTTTTAATAACACGTACATTTTTGTTACAGAAAAAAATATATTCTCTATTCATATATAAGTATTATATTTTATCGCATATAAAG